TAATGCTCATTAGTTTCTCATATTTGCTAATTATAAGATTGTAAGAATATTTTGCTTCAGTGAAAGTATGTTTGGTCATCAAGAACATGCGTCTTCGAGTTTGCGTAATGCATTTCAAAATTTCCGTGGCTAAATACACATTACTGTCGGATCGAATCGTCGGCGACGTATTTCACTAACATAAGTTGTTGCGTGCAAAATGTCTGGTTTTAAAAGCTTTAATATCGTGAAACGTTTCCGTAAAAAATAAATGTCTTCCGTAATCAGTTGTTATAGATTGCGATTGTTGACAGATCATTGCGACACTTTTCTTGTGACACAATTCAATAATACGTAAATAATTGAGGAGTTTAAGCGTAATTTCAGCGGTGTAAAATTTGCAAAAAAAGGAAAATGCAGATATCGCGTATCTGTAATTATTCCAATTAAATACGTATCTATTTACGGCTGTTACTATAAAATCGACATATTGCGTGGTGTAATCTGATCTTTCACCTAACCATAATTGCTCCAGTTAATAGTGCACCTGCACGGCGAAAGGAAAGTAAAAAAAACTTGCATGACGCATATCTGTAACGGAGATAGACATTTTCGCGTTTCCACCGCAAGAATGAAAATATGCATGTTTCGTTTGTGACTCACGTAGCCGACGACGACCGAATCGTTGATAGCGTATCTTTATTGTTCGCGGTTATTTAGCTTATCTTGTTCAATAACGTGGAATGATAATGATGATGATCAAAGATATCACTTTGATTCGCGTGCAATTTTTGTTTGTAAGTTTGTGGCACACGGAGGTCGTTCAATTATAATTGATTGCACTTTTGGCGCCGTAACATAAAAATAAATTATAATAATACTTTTAGGTGACGTAAGAGCTCTTTCTTTTCGTCGAATCAGACTTTTTTCTCGTAAATTTAAAAAATGCCTTCAAATTATTTTGAAATTTTCCACGAAACTTGGACAAGTCCTCTCTGGTCCACGTTTCGTTTTGCAATGTCTTCATACATTTATTATTAATCCCATCCAGTGGTCATTGTTTAACTTTGAATCCGTCCTCTCCATCCGTGAGCCATTCCTGATCCATTATCGTTGATTGACTTCGAACAGTTGTCAAGATATAATCACTTCCATCGAATCCTTTCTTCGCTCACTTTTGATAGAAGTTCGATCGTCAAGGTTGAAATTGAAAATTGATTTAGGTCCAACCAACTGAATAGACAGACGAACATGATGGCAGATTTTTGTTACACCAATCCCACGATAGTGCCGGGGGAATTGCTTTCTCGTCGTGGGTTTTCCATGTACAGCGGATCTGACAATTTCGATGAGGACTTCGGCAAGAATAGGAATCAATATGGCATTTACCACGAGGCTCGATCGAAGTTCTAACACATCGAGTCCTGGGATGATCTATTCCATATAGCGATTAATTGACTCATTGGCTCGTTACCTATGCCAATCAATCAACCATTGATTAGAGATTAAATTAAGTTAAATTGAATAGAGATTAAATAACTCATATTACCTTATTGTAAGTTATAAATTGATTGATACGATTATTATTAAGATTATTATTCACTTCTTAATATAGTATTTCGTTGTGTAATTTATTACGAAATGTGTGTGCAATCAAGTGTGCTAGTTTAATTTTTCTTACTGACTTCGTGTAAATAGCAGATATATTACTCGTAAATAGTCCTCGAAAGTATTCAGTGTTTTGCTGCGACGTAAAAATTACATTCCAAATTACAGTTTGATAAATAGAAATCAGAATATTATTTTATCAAAGCTAATTTTTAATGCATTAACTTTCGTTTACATATCATATCTTTGAATATTTTTTTTATATAAAATAAATTAATAGATTAAAAACACAAAAGCCTTTGATATATTCATGAATGAGATCATTTGCACACAATTATTAATATTATTAGAAAAATAACATGCATATATGATTACTACTGCTTTATCGGCAACTCGAGCCGCTGACAAAGCAGGAAGTTTTCAGAGAATGTCCAGATGTCTCTATGTACTTTTACGTCGCAGAAAAATTATATAGTGTTACAAAA